GTATTTCCAAAGAAGTTTAGGAGGAGAGATGGTATCGGTATCGGCAGATACTCAAAGTTGAAGTATCGGTATCAGTATCGGAAATCAAAAAGAGGTATCAGTCCATCCCTAGTAACGATTTAGTTGCCAGATTTGCAAAAAATCTCATAAAATGCCCTTACTATGAGTATGATTCCAAATCCAGACCTCCATGGGATAATAATTTTGATTTATACTGATCATTTTTATGTTATTTTGTTGTCAACGGATTCCACTAGGGAATGAATAAAGATTTTCAACTGGAATATTTCATTCATTGAGATCTAGGATGTGTTATTTTAGTGTTCCCTTTATTTTTTTTTTAGCAGTTGTAGTTTCTGTAACCCTTCACAGTATATCTCACTTTATCTCTCCCATTTGCCTTAAGTGTAAAACAGAGCTTGGGATTCATTTTCACTATTTTGGGAATGCAGGTTAATCGCGAGATGCTGGAGTCACATAGCCCGTAAGTTGTCCAGGGTTTTAGGACTACAATAAAAAAGATGCCAGGGCTCTTGGGTTTACTCTCCAAAGTACTAGCAATGTCTCATAATCATCATAAACTGCTGGATGAGCCTTTGCTCCTTGTTCCTAAATGCATCCTTTAGAAATGAATGACAGATTTTCAGTGTCAGAGATTACCTCATGAAACAGTAGGAGTTCTTCTTATCGAGGATAAGGATTCACTTCTTCAAATCTGGAGCCCTTTTCTAAATTATTCACCACCTGCACTTCATTGAACTTTGTGAACAAGTCTATGCTCTTCAGAGTGGGTAGGGTTGTAAGCCGTATGTTACATGTTCTGAAAATAAGAACACTATATATAGAAATGGGATACTAAATACAGTTGAAACCAGGTGTTAACATACGCTGCAGAAAAAGCCATAAAACCTTTTTTGCTATTTTTCCATCCAGCTGGATGAGCCTACTGTGATAGCAATTCGGGCAATTTGCTGGTTTACATGAGATACGAATTCGATGGTGCAGCTCAGTGTAACTTTCTATTCTGTTGTTGTTGTACTTTGGGATAAAGCAACACAGCAAATACCCTGCACTTCCTGACAAAGCAGTGCACTTTCTTCTTCCCTTTATGGAAGCAGGATGATGCGGAGCCAAACCTATGACTGAACAGGGTTCTGTGTTAGGACCAATATTATTTACTCTGTATATGCTTCCGTTAGGCAACATTATTAGGAAGTATTGCATACATTTCCATTGTTATGCAGACGACACCCAGTTATATCTATCTATGAACCCTAATGAAACCAATCAGTTACTTCAACTCCAGGCATGTCTGAAGGACATTAAGGTCTGGATGACCTGTAACTTCCTTCATTTAAATTCAGATAAAACTGAGGTTATTGTATTTGGCCCTAAACACCTCAGAAACTCACTATCTACCCAGATAGTTACTGTAGATGGTATCGCCTTAGCGTCTAGTTCCATAGTAAAGAACCTCGGGGTTACTTTTGACCAGGATATGTCCTTTAACTTCCATATAAAACAAACATGTAGGACAGCTTTCTTTCATCTTCGGAATATTGCCAAAATCAGGAGCATCCTGTCTCAGAGTGA